TTGGAAGGATGCCCCAAGCGAAACTGGCCGTTCTACCTCTCGAGTCACGTTAAGCCCTCTCATGCAACTCCATTCCTAATCCCTCCTCCTCCTCCTCCTCCTCCTTCTCGTCCTCCTCCTCCTCCTGCCTGCTCCCTCCTCCTCATCCTCCTCGTCCTCCTCCTCCTCCTCCTCCTCCGGCACGTTTTGAGACGTCGCTAAAAGGTATATAGAAATCCTGTTTGGGGAGCCCTGTCTCGGAGCCCAGAGTTGCGAGGATGTCCCAGGTCGCACCTGGTCGACGAGTAAGCTGTCGGGTCGCGGGCAACTTGAACAAATTTAAGACGAACTCAGAAGCAACTGTAAGAGGAAGCGGAGGAGGGCGCGGAAGTGAGGGGGCATGTCGTGATGGTTCCCTCGGGGATGATATCGAGAGGTACACGGCGCACGTCTCAAAAGAAAAATCGTGACGTCGGATGTCTGGGGAGGGCGGAAGGCAGTGCGCGCATGACGGATGCTGAGGCGGCATAAACGACGACGGCGGGGGCGGGGAGGCGGAGGCAGAGGCGCAGCAGCGGGAGGCGGGAGGTGGGAGGAGGGAGGAGGGAAGAGGAACCAGGCGAAGGAATGAGAGAGGTTGTGATTGGAGCTCCTGTGCTACGAAACGTCTCAGGCAGAATGGGCCAGACCATCTCGCGCGCAACATCTTCGAGCCTCGCATTGCGAGGATGGCTCAATCGAAACGGGCCGGACCACCTCGCGAGCGACATCTGGGAGCTCAGTATTGGAAGGATGTCTCAAACGAAACGGGCCGGACAATCTTTCGCACACGTTTTGACAAGTCCACATCGCACTCGTTTCCCGTTAGGTCCTCTCCTGCAACTCCCTTCCTTTTCCCTCCTCCTCCTCCTCCTCCTCCTCTTCCTCCTCCTTCTCCTCCTCCTCCTCCTCCTCCTCCCCCTCCTCTTGCCTGCTCCCTCATGCACATCATCCGCCTCCTCCTTCTCCCTTCCATCTCCTTCTCCTCCTCCTCGTCCTCCTCCTCCTCCTTCTCCTCCTCCTCCTCCTCCTCCTCCTCGTCCTCCTCCTCCTCCTCGACTTCCTCTTCATCCCGAACGGCATCTCGGAGCCTAGAGTTGCGAGGATGTCTCCAGCGTAACGGGCTGGACCACCTCGCGCGCGGCATCTCGGACCCCAGAGTTGCGACGATTTCTCGGGCAAACGTGCTGCGAGGAAGTCTCAGGCGAAACTGGCCGGACCACCTCGAGCGCGGCGTCTCAGAGCTCCGAGTTGCGGGGGCCTCCTGAAGCCTCCTGGGACCTCCTGGGGACCTCGTGGGGCTTCCTCCTGGGCCTCCTGTGGCCTCCTGAACTCCAAAGCCTCTTGGGGCTCCCAGGGGGGATATCTAACCTGTGGCCGTTTGGGCCTCTCCAAATGGAGGAGGGGGGCACAAGAGCAGGAAGAATCAACGAATCGACACCGGATGTGTATTAACTTGACACGTTCTGATAGGCGGCCTCCTGGGGCCTGTCCTGGGCGTCCTGCGGCCTCCTGGAGCTCTCTGGGGCCTCCCCCTCCTCTTGCCTGCTCCCTCATGCACATCATCCGCCTTCTCCTTCTCCCTTCCATCTCCTCCTCCTCCTCCTTCTCCTCCTCCACCTCCTCTTCATCCCGAACGGCATCTCGGAGCCCAGAGTTGCGAGGATGTCTCCAGCGTGACGGGCTGGACCACCTCGCGCGCGGCATCTCGGACCCCAGAGTTGCGACGATGTCTCTGGCGAAACGTGCTGCGAGGAAGTCTCAGGCGAAACGGGCCGGACCACCTCGAGCGCGGCGTCTCAGAGCTCCGAGTTGCGGGGGCCTCCTGGGGCCTCCTGGGACCTCCTGGTGGCCTCCTGGGGCTTCCTCCTGGGCCTCCTGTGGACCCCACCTGGGGCTTCCTGAAGCCTCTTGGGGCTCCCAGGGGGGATATCTAACCTGTGGCCGTTTGGGCCTCTCCAAATGGAGGAGGGGGGCACAAGAGCAGGAAGAATCAACGAATCGACACCGGATGTGTATTAACTTGAGACGTTCTGATAGAGGGCCTCCTGGGGCCTCCTGGGAGCCTCCTGGAAATCTCCTGGAGACCCCTGGGGCCTGTCCTGGGCGTCCTGCGGCCTCCTGGTGCCTCCTGGGGCCTCCTGGGGACCTCCTGGAGCTTCCTCCTGGGCCTCCTGTGGCCTCCTGAACTCCACCTGAGGTTTCCTGAAGGCTCTTGGGGCTCCCAGGGGGGATATCTAACCTGTGGCCGCTTGGGCCCCTCAAAATGAGGGGGGGGCACAAGAGCAGGAAAAATCAACGAATCGACACCGGATGTGTATTAACTTGACACGTTCTGATAGAGGGCCTCCTGGGGCCTCCTGGGAGCCTCCTGGGAATCTCCTGGGGGCCCCTGGGGCCTGTCCTGGGCGTCCTGCGGCCTCCTGGACCTCTCTGGGGCCTCCTGAGGCTCGCAGGGTCCTATGGAGGATATGTCACATGTGGTCTTCTGGGCGCCCAGGCTGGATCACCTCTCGCGCAGCATCTGAGAGCTCAGAGTTGCGAGAATGTCTTGTGCGAAACAGACCGGACCACCTTGCGCACGGCATCTCAGAGCTCAGAGTTGCACGGATGTCTCAGGCGAGACGGGCCGGACCACTTCGCGCAGGGCATCTCAGAGCTCAGAATTTCGAGGATGTCTCAACGAAACGGGCCAGACCACCTCTCGCGCGGCATCTCCGAAGTCAGAGTTTCGAGGATGTCTCAGGCGAAATGGGCCGGACCACCTCGCGCAAGGCATCGCAGAGCTCAGAGTTTCGAGGATGTCTCAGGCGAAACGGCCCGGACCACCTCTCGCACGGCACCTCGGGGCTCAGAGTTTCGAGGATGTCTCAAGCGAAACGGCCCGGACCACCTCTCGCGCGGCGTCCCGGAGCGCAACTTTTTGAGGATGTCTCAGGCGAAACGGCCCGGACCACCTCTCGCGCGGCGTCCCGGAGCGCAACTTTTCGAGGATGTCTCAGGCGAAACGGCCCGGACCTCTCGCACGGCACCTCGGGGCTCAGAGTTTCGAGGATGTCTCAAGCGAAACGGCCCGGACCACCTCTCGCGCGGCGTCCCGGAGCGCAACTTTTTGAGGATGTCTCAGGCGAAACGGCCCGGACCACCTCTCGCGCGGCGTCCTGGAGCGCAACTTGTCGAGGATGTCTCAGGCGAAACGGCCAATCCCGGCCAACTCAGAAACGAGAGTTGTGAGGATGTCTCAAGCGAAACGGCCAAAACCATAAAGTTTGTGTGAGGATGTCTCTGCTCCGACTTCCCTCGGCCGGAGTTAGTTTCTACCACAAGAGCACCCCGTTCAGCAAGCTGTTTGGGGAAAACGCAGGTCACATTCATGATTGGTTTTCGGGCGCGCGGGAAGTCAGCCTAGCTGCATGTTCGTAATGGTGGTGTGCCCGTGCATGTGTTGAATGTGAGAAATGAGGAGCAGCAGGGGATCCGGCAAAGAAGAGGAGGAGGAGGAGGACGAGGAGGAGGAGGAGGAGGAAAAGGAAGAGGAGGAGGAGGAGGAGGAGGAGGAGGAGGAGGAGGAGGAGGAGGAGGAGGAGGAGGAGGAGGAGGAGGAGAGAGAGAGAGAGGGAGAGAGAGAGAGAGAGAGGGAGAGAGAGGAAGACCAGACGAGATATGAGGAGATCCTATGTGTTCCCTCTTGTTTTTTTTCTGGGGGGTAGTTTGGCAACGATTGTGCCACATTGGAGCACTTTTGTGGCCATCTTGTGCCACTGTGGAATGCCCCAATATGGCCACTGGAGTGACCGGCAGTATGGAAAATGGAGCAAATTCGAACGCACTGTTGCTCGATGTTGGCGGTGGGGCTTCACTGTCAAAGCCGACGCGCCCAGCGCAGACCACCCTTGCCAGTGTGGCGCAGCAGCCCAAGCTTCTGAGACAGGTTGTAGAGTACTGTCGATCCGCTTCCAACATCAAAAGCATAACCTCCAGAAACAACGTGTAAACAAAGCATCGAAATTAGTGTATCCATTGTCAAAACCTGATGAACTAGACGTTCGAGGTTAGATTGGCGATCACAAGCGAGGTCTTATCCCACGAAGGAGGTTCCCTTCATATTGCGGGACTACTTGCCAAAGCCCAGGGAAGTCGACCCTTGGCATTGGATTTTTATGTGAGTGTGAAGGCTGTCTCCCCAAATCGCCTTTGGGTCCCCAGTGGCCAATAGAGAGAGGCCTCACCCGCCCCCCCACCCCTTTCCATCTGCACCAGAGTGGCGCGGCAGTGGGGGGAAAGGGTGACGGGGGTACAGTCACGACGCTGAAGCAACGACCGCTTTGGGCTCAGGAGGTGCTCGGGTTTTCGGGCCGGTCCTTAGATGTGCGTCGTGGCGCTTGTTTGTGGCCTGGGCCCGCCGTTGCCAGCAAGGCCCCTTCGTTCTTCATCATGCGTTCCTCATTATGATAGCACCATGACTGCACCGTTTCACACGCCAGGTGGCCGGGACCGATAGACCATATCGAAGTGGGTTGGTGTTGCTGCGGGGGGGAAACTTGCCAAAGCCAGGGCAATTCGACCTTCGACATTGGTTCGACAATCAAAAGGGAACATTACCTCACAAATATCTGTGAGTCCCCAGTGGCCAAGAGAGAACCCCCCGCCCTGTCTCGCTTCCATCTGCACCAAAGTGGCACGGCGGTGCGCGGAAAGGGGGAATGGGGATCAGGTTGCACACGCCGTTGCTCCACGAGGGGGTCGGCGGATAACGTTTGGTCCCATTGAGGCAGGGGCGACGACGCTAAACCTTTCGACAGAGATGGAGGCGCTCCTGGAGGTGGGCATGTGTTTGGTCATTGCAGGTGGTGGCAACTCAGAGACGGTCTGCATTGCTGGTTTGGCGCCCGTGCAGCTCGTGAGCCCCACGCAGTTCGCGTACCCCGCTGGCTCAACGCTCACACTTTTGAATGATGTCTACTCCTCTTCGAATTCTTCGATGGTCATTCGCAGGGCTCATGCCATACCCTACGACCACCTTTGAGGCGCTGAGAGTGAACATTGATAATGAGAACGAGGTGGCGAGGGAGGAGGATGAGGCGGAAGGGGAGGCGACGGAAAAGGAGAGGCAAGAGGGAGACTAGGAGGAAGCATGGAGGGACGGAGATGGCGGGGGGTGGAGGGAGGATATTTGAGGGAGGAGGAATGACTGATGGAGGGATTGAGGGCTGTTCCTGGGCTGTCCATGCGCCCTGAAACTGGTCAATTCTGCGGTCTGGCCAGCATCTTCACGGCCGCTTTGGCGGCCTGCAGGGCCGTCGATACTGACGGCCTCTCTGGAGACCGTCGTGGGGTCCGTTGTGGGCCCTGTTGGGTCCTCTCTGGGGGGTTCCTTCGGCAACTCTTGGGCCGCCTTGAGGCCCTCCTGCATGTGACCATCTTGGGCTCGCGCAATCGTTCTAGCGTATGTTGACGGTGGAGCCTGAGTGGTAACGCCGGCGCCCAACCCCCACGCCGAACACCCTTGGGGTGCAGCAGTAAAAGCTGCCGAATAAATCACAACAGACAACCCGCGAGATGGCAGCCATGCTCCACCCCCTGCGAGCCGCCCTTAACAGTGCGAGATTCATGGTCAACGCTTGGTGGATCGGACGCTTGGGAGTGGGTTGACGATCAAATGCAGGACTTGATGTCCGAAGAACAAACCCTTAATCGTGGGGAGCCCACCGTCGAGGCGGGTGGGGATCAGGTCTCACGCACCGACGCCTCACCAGGGGGCTGCGGATTTCTTTTGGTCCCGTCGAGGCGGGGGCGACGACGCTGAACCTGTCGGCAGAGTTAGAGGACCTCCTGGAGGTGGGCATGTGTTTGGTCATTGCAGGTGGTGGCAACTCAGAGACGGTCTGCATTGCAGGCTTGGCGCCCGTGCAGCTCGTGAGCCCCACGCAGTTCGCGTACCCCGCTGGCTCAACGCTCACACTTTTGGACGGTGTCTACTCTTCTTCGAATACTTCAATGGTCATTCGCAGGGCTCCTGCCATACCTTACGACCACCTTGGAGGCGCTAAGAGTGAGCCTTGATGATGAGGACAAGTTTGCGAGGGAGGAGGATGAGGCGGAAGGGGAGGCGACAGAAAAGGAGAGGCAAGAGGGAGACACATGATGAAGGATGGAGGAACGGAGATGGCAATGGGTGGAGGGAGGATAGTTGAGGGAGGAGGGATGACGGATGGAGGGATTAAGGGATGGTCCTGGGCTGTCCAGGCGCCCTTCAACTGCCTGTAGGGCCGTCCAAACGGACGGCCTCTCTGGAGACCGTCTTTGGCTCCTTCGTGGGCCCTGTTGGGTCCTCTCTGGGGTGGTCCGTCGGCCACTCCTGGGCCGCCTCGAGGCCCTCCTGCATGTGACCATCTTGGACGGTGTGGCCTAAGTGTCAACGCCGGCGCTCCCCCCCCAAACCCCGAACACCTTTGGGGTGCAGCAGTAAAAGCTCCCGAATAGACCACAACAGACGACCCGCGAGATCGCAGCCATGCTCCACCCCCTCAGAGCCGCCCTTGACAGTGCGAGATTCATTGTCAACGCTTGGTGGATCGGACGCTTGGGAGTGGGTTGATGATCAAATGCAGGACGTGATATCCGAAGCACAAACCCTTAATCGTGGGGAGCCCACCGTCGAGGCGGGTTGGGATCAGGTCTCACGCACCGACGCCTCACCAGGGGGCTGCGGATTTCTTTTGGTCCCGTCGAGGCGGGGGCGACGACGCTGAACCTGTCGGCAGAGTTAGAGGACCTCCTGGAGGTGGGCATGTGTTTGGTCATTGCAGGTGGTGGCAACAAAGAGACGGTCTGCATTGCAGGCTTGGCGCCCGTGCAGCTCGTGAGCCCCACGCAGTTCGCGTATCCCGCTGGCTCAACGCTCACACTTTTGGACGGTGTCCATTCCTCTTCGAATACATCAATGGTCATTCGCAGGGCTCATGCCATACCCTACGACCACCTTGGAGGCGCTAAGAGTGAGCATTGATGATGAGGACAAGTTTGCGAGGGAGGAGGATGAGGCGGAAGGGGAGGCGACAGAAAAGGAGAGGCAAGAGGGAGACACATGATGAAGCATGGAGGAACGGAGATGGCAATGGGTGGAGGGAGGATAGTTGAGGGAGGAGGGATGACGGATGGAGGGATTAAGGGATGGTCCTGGGCTGTCCAGGCGCCCTTCAACTGCTCAATTGGGCGGTCTGGCCAGCATTTTGACGGCCGCTTTGGCGGCCTGTAGGGCCGTCCAAACGGACGGCCTCTCTGGAGACCGTCTTTGGCTCCTTGGTGGGCCCTGTTGGGTCCTCTCTGGGGGGGTCCGTCGGCCACACCTGGGCCGCCTCGAGGCCCTCCTGCATGTGACAATTTTGGGCTCGCAAAACCGTTTTAGCGTATGTTGACGGTGTGGCCTAAGTGTCAGCGCCGGCGCCCCCCCCCCAAACCCCGAACACCCTTGGGGTGCAGCAGTAAAAGCTGCCGAATAGACCACAACAGACGACCCGCGAGATGGCAGCCATGCTCCACCCCCTCAGAGCCGCCCTTGACAGTGCGAGATTCATTGTCAACGCTTGGTGGATCGGACGCTTGGGAGTGGGTTGATGATCAAATGCAGGACGTGACATCCGAAGCACAAGCCCTTAATCGTGGGGAGCCCACCGTCGAGGCGGGTGGGGATCAGGTCTCACGCACCGACGCCTCACCAGGGGGCTGCGGATTTCTTTTGGTCCCGTCGAGGCGGGGGCGACGACGCTGAACCTGTCGGCAGAGTTAGAGGACCTCCTGGAGGTGGGCATGTGTTTGGTCATTGCAGGTGGTGGCAACTCAGAGACGGTCTGCATTGCAGGCTTGGCGCCCGTGCAGCTCGTGAGCCCCACGCAGTTCGCGTACCCCGCTGGCTCAACGCTCACACTTTTGGACGGTGTCCATTCCTCTTCGAATACATCAATGGTCATTCGCAGGGCTCATGCCATACCCTACGACCACACAAGTGAGAGGGAGGAAGACAAGTAGGAGAGGGAGGAGGATCAGAAAGAGCTGCGCGCTGGGAGAGGAGTGGCATGATGCATGAGAGAAAAGGAGAAGGAGTCATGAAGGGATGGAGGGATTGAGGCACGGAGGGAGGATAGACGAGAAAGGAGGGAGGGGGTGTTGAGTTATTGAGATGCCGGCGGCAGGAGGGAGGTCGGATTGAGGCATGGTCTTGGGCTGCCCGTGCGGCCTCCAACGGCTCAAGTGGGCTGTCGGTCCCCCATCCCGACGGCCGTCTTGGCGGATTGTTGGGCCGCCTCTTTGGAGACCGTACTGGGCCGTCTTTGGGTCGCTTGCCGGCCGTCCTGGGCCCACAAGATCACAATTGAGTATAATCAAACGCACCGTTGCTCAATGCTGACGGTGGGGCCTCACTGTCAAACCTGGACGGTGGGGCGCAGCAGCGAAACTGTCTGTTGCCGACTGCCAACCCACTGCCAAGATCAAAGCCATGCCCTACCCCCAGAAAGACGCCCTCGATCGTGCGGAACCCACTGCCAAGGCTTGACGGATCAAACGCTTGACAGTGGGTATCTGATCAAATGCGAGATGTGACGTACCACACGGAAGAAACATTTCACAGCGCAGAACTACTCGCCAAAAGTGGAGAGGGTCCATCTTTCACAGTGGATGGCCCTCCCAAAGCGAAACATGCATGGCTCCCCAAACACCTTCGACAGTGCGGTTCCAATGTCCCAGAGAGAAGCGTCACGCGACCCCGGCTGCCCCATCAACCTGCACCTGAGGGTCTTGGCAATTTGGGGGGGATAATCAGGAGGGTGGGGGTGAGTTCTTACACCGCGACGCCTCCCAAGAGGGTATACGGATCACGTTTGGTCCCGTCGAGGCGGGGGCGACGACGCTGAACCTGTCGGCAGAGTTAGAGGACCTCCTGGAGGTGGGCATGTGTTTTACCCTTGCGGGTGGTGGCAACTCGGAGCCGGTCTGTATTGCAGGCTTGGCGCCAGTACAGCTCGTGAGCCCCACGCAGCTCGCGTACCCCGCTGGCTCAGCGTTCACACTTTTGGAGGGCGCTTACGTCCCTTCGAATACTACGATGATTATTCGCAGGGCTTTTGCCACATCCCACGACCACCGTGCATTTTCTCAGTAAGGGCACTGTCCCAGGGTTCTCTGTATTAAGTCGGGGCTTCGACCATTGACCAGAAGGGTGTCAAGCACGAGCCAGTGGATCCTTCACAGGTGAGCACGCGTGCGCGAGGGGGTCTGCAATGTGCGTATGGCATGTGTCCGTTGACTGCGTTACAGAAAAGGCCATCGCCTTCGAAGGATCGAGAAGTTGACTTCTCTTCTTCGGCGGCAGGCCCTCGAAATGTGGCGGGAGCGAATCCAGGGTTTTCGGCCCCGCTGCCTGGTGCTTTCATCGATAGATTGGCGCCTCGCGCCTCCAGCGCCGGGAGGCGCCAGCTACGTAAGCTGATTCGGTAACTCCCCCTGTGCCCCCCTCCCCCATTCCCCCGTTCGTCCGCCCCGAGTAGCGGGGACAACACCCGCTACCCTTCCCCCGCCTGCTTGCGTTCCCGCGCTGGTCGTGCGATGGGTCGGAGCACTCAGACCAGGGAAAGCGGGTCGCCGTCCAGACGTTTGTTTGTGAAGGTCTCGTGCGTTTGTACCTCTGAGTTCCTCTGCCTCTATGCGCCTTAGGTCCATAGCCTCGGGGCAGATAGTCTGCTCGGACGAGGTACCATGGCCAGGCTGCGGGCAGGTGTGGCGAATCGTCGCCTCTTCTTTGGGCCCGCGCCCTGCCTGTGGTTGCGTGCCCGTGCCAGTTTACAGGTACCCCAGGACCCATGGCAGAACTCTGGGCCAGGCGGCCAGGCCCGCGCCCGATCCCATGGAAGGACGGAAGGCGGGATGGAGGAAGTGCATGCTCTTGCGCCTGCAACGACGTGCAAACACCTGGCATGCTACAATCCTTCTCTCCCCGCATGTCTGCTCTGTTGGAGAGGGCCCCCCATCCGCGACCAAGCGCGGCCAGCGCGGCTCGGCCACGAGGCCCCGCCACCGCCGCCATCGCAGCTGGAGGTGGCACCGCGGCTGAAAACCCCGGCGGACGTGCCCCCGGCGGTGCTGGCTGGCACGCGCGGCCCGCTGCGGGCCCTCCGCGCGCCGGCGGGGCCACCGGCGGTGAAGGTCCCCCCCGCGGGGCCCGACGCCTCTCCCAAGTCGCCCGTCCCCGGAGGCGCGGACCAGGGCCCCGCCCCCGCGGGGAGGGGGCCGCAGGGCCCCCCGCCTTCGCCGCCGCAGGGCCCCCCGCCTTCGCCGCCGCAGGGCCCCCCGCCAAGCCAGCGGTGGGATCGACGCCGAGACGGCGCCCCGCCGCTTCCGCCGCCGCCCCTGGCCGCTGGCGCAGCAGCGGACGTCGACGCTGAGAGAACGGACGTCAGGGCTGCATCCGACTCGGAGGCGACGGACATCCAGACGATGCTGACCGCCCCGACGCCCGCAGGCTCAACGGTGTTGGCTGGGTCGACCCCGCCTGGATCGCCGATCGAGATGCCGGCCAGTGACTCCGAGCAGGGCGAGGAGGAACCCGACCCCAGTGCCGCCAGAGGCCGCGCCGCCCAGGGGGGTAATGCCGCCCCCCAGGCGGCAGAGCACGCAGCTGCCGCCCCCGCCGCCGATGGCGCCCCCGCCGGCGGGGACGGCGGTTCTGTTCGACGGCGCCGAATGTGGGGGGGCACCGCCCGTTGCAAACGCGCCGCCGAATGTTCCTAAGGCAAGCGCCCGTGGAACGCGCGCCCTCAGACTTGCATATATATATATATATATATATATATGTATATATATATGTATATGTGTGTATATATATATGTATATATACACATATATATACATATATATATATACTTGTGTATATATATGTATACTTTGCCGCTACGGAAGTTCTTCCAAAATGCAGCGCCTCCCGTTCAGCGACGGGGCCCGAGTACAGCGTTGTCAGTGGCGTTGCGCCCGCGAGAAGAGGAGGCGTCACAGTGGGCCGTTGGGCCGCGGGGCCTCAGTACAATATTCTGTTCAAGCGTTGCGTTGCTCAAGTCTCGGGCGGAGCCGCCCTTTCGACGTCGAACCCGATGGTTTTAAAATCCAGTTGCGATCGCTTTGTGGAGGAAATCTCAAGCGAACACCGCACTTTCGAAATCTCGGGTCAGAATTTAAAAGTGTTCAATGCCAAGCGGTGTGGCCATTTCGAAACGACGGTTTCGCTGGAGATTCTTCAGCAAAAACAATTTCGAACGATTTCTGAATTTCCGGGCTCGCTTTCGAAAGTGCGTTCCCACAGAAGATTTCCTCAACATCAGAATTTGAAGCCTCTCTGGTTCGATTTTGGAATGGCGCTCCTATCCAGAAGTTCCCCCGAAACAGAAATTCGGAGCCTTTCGGGCTCGATTTCGACATGGCGCTCCCGCCCAGTACTTCTTGAAAACTGGATTTCGACGCCCTTCTGGCTCGATTTCGAAGTGGCGCTTCCGCCCAGGATTTCTTCGAACATAAATGTCGGCAGTTCTTCAGTTCGAAATCGTAATGGCGCTCCCGCTTAGATCTGTCTTGGTGGAGCAACGAAACGGGTCAAAACTTTCGTAGCGCCGATGCATCTGTGTCTGCGTTGGCCAGCGTTGAGGTGCAGATTGGGCAACGCAAAGCAATGCCATACAACACAGCACAAAGCAATGACAAGCAGCGCAATGCAAACCAATGCGAAGCATTGCAACGCAAGGCAAATCAAGACACAACAAATCAACGCAACGCAATGCAATGCAGCGCACGGTAAAACAAAACGAAACAACAACATACAACGCAATGCAAAAGCAATGTCAGACATAGCAAAGCAACGCAACGCATAGCAATGTAACGCAAACCAATACATAAGCAATACACAGCAACGCCAAGCAATGCGCAGCAATACAAGAAACGCAATGCACAGCAACGCCTAGCAAGTGTAAATCCGAGCAAGCAAGCACTGTAACGGCGGCGACGGGCGGCGACTACATAGCCGCCAGACCGACGCACAGGCCCAGAACGGGCGGCGACGAGGCGGCGACGGTGCGAGGACGGCGACAACATAGCCGTCAGACTGGCCCGCAGGCCCAGACGATGGGTGGCGACGAGGCGGCGACGGGGCGGCGACGGCGGCAACATAGCCGCCAGACCAGGCCGCAGGCCCCGTTCCTTAGAGTAGAAGTAAGCACCGCTAAGTGCAAACACTGCTTGGGGAATACGGACTAGCATACAAGCACACCATAGTGTGGCACACCACCTTCAGGGCCCCATCAAGTCTGAGTCTGAGGTCTACCCGTGCAGGCGTCGAGCGTGAGAAGCGAGGAGCGGCCAACTGGGACAGTCTTGGTGGCCTGTATGCCTTCTTGAGCTACAGTATGCACGTCAGATAAGAAACTGGCCTGCCAGCAGGTGCCCCGCGGAAGTTTCTTATCCACCGATGGCCCCAGGGACCCACAGAAGCGCGTGAGCATCTCTGGAAGTTCAAGGACCAACGTCGATTGTGTCCCTGGATTCTAATCGTAGAATTCTTTACGCTTCGCGTATCCCCACCAGCCCAGCTCACAGCAGCAACTCTTGCGAAACATGCCGACAGTCGTGCTTTTACCTAACAGCGTAGACTGATAGGTTTCTAGTAGGATCAAAAGAGGGCAGCAGCTTACTCCACAGGGGGGTCTGGGCGGATGTCGGCGAGCTGCCGGGCGGACGCCGGGCGGACGAACCGGGCTCGTTTTTCGTCAGCAGTCACACACTTCGTGCTCTTCGACCTCCCAGAACTCCATGCCGGGGCCACATTTTGAATAACCGGACGCAACAGTCACACACTTCGTGCTCTTCGAGTTCCCAGAACACCATTCCCGGGCCACATTTTGAATGCCCGGAGCCAACTGTAGGCCACTTCGTGCTCTTCGACTTCCCAGAACGCCATTCCCGGGCCACATTCTGAATGCCCAGAGCCAACTGTAGGCCACTTCGTGCTCTTCGATTTCCCAGAACACCATTCCCGGGCCACATTCTGAATGCCCGGAGCCAACTGTAGGCCACTTCGTGCTCTTCGACTGCCCCGAACGCCATCGCCGAATGCCACTCCTGCCACTCCTGGCGCACATTTTGGATGCCCGGAGCCAACTGCACGCCACTTCCTGCTCTTCCACTCCCAGAATTCCATTCCCGGGACGCATTGTGGAGAACACGCCGTTGTAGTCGTAGTAGTATTCGTACGCCTCTCCTCCTCCTTCTACTCGCTCCTCGTTTTTCTTCTCTCGTCGACGTCAGAACCCTTGCCTCCTATGACGTCCTCCGCTGGCCTGGGTGGTCTACTCAGGTCGCGGAGGGGGATAGGAGGGGGGTCGTTGCCATGGCTGGTTCCCTCGAATTGACGACGGGGAGGGGGGGGTGCACCGTTCTCTCGGATGGGCACATCCCCCCCTCCAAGGGTCTCCGAGCCCTCCCTCTCCGTCCTTTCCCTTCTCCCTTTCTACTCGTAGAGTAGTAGTAGTAGTAGTAGTAGTAGTAGTAGTAGTAGTAGTAGTAGTAGTAGTAGTAGTAGTAGTAGTAGTAGTAGTAGTAGTAGTAGTAGTAGTAGTAGTAGTAGTAGTAGTAGTAGTAGTAGTAGTAGTAGTAGTAGTAGTAGTAGTAGTAGTAGTAGTAGTAGTAGTAGTAGTAGTAGTAGTAGTAGTAGTAGTAGTAGTAGTAGTAGTAGTAGTAGTAGTAGTAGTAGTAGTAGTAGTAGTAGTAGTAGTAGTAGTAGTAGTAGTAGTAGTAGTAGTAGTAGTAGTAGTAGTAGTAGTAGTAGTAGTAGTAGTAGTAGTAGTAGTAGTAGTAGTAGTAGTAGTAGTAGTAGTAGTAGTAGTAGTAGTAGTAGTAGTAGTAGTAGTAGTAGTAGTAGTATAGTAGTAGTAGTAGTAGTAGTAGTAGTAGTAGTAGTAGTAGTAGTAGTAGTAGTAGTAGTAGTAGTAGTAGTAGTAGTAGTAGTAGTAGTAGTAGTAGTAGTAGTAGTAGTAGTAGTAGTAGTAGTAGTAGTAGTAGTAGTAGTAGTAGTAGTAGTAGTAGTAGTAGTAGTAGTAGTAGTAGTAGTAGTAGTAGTAGTAGACCGAACAGCTTTTGCTGATAGCTTTCTAGTGGGATCAGAAGATAGCATATGGACTCCTCATGTTCCTTTTTGCTTTTGATAGCTGTCTTTGGCTTACAGAGTTTTTGCCACGGTACTCTTCTGCTGGTGAAAAGGCGCCAGTCTCGCGATGGCATCTTCAGCGTCAGCTTCTCGTGGTGCTTCTCAGCCTGCGAACGAAAGCCGACAGGAGCCCGCGGTCGCCACTGGTCGCTGTGCTTCTCAGCCTGCGTCTTTCACGATCGCCTCCTTCAACTTCGGATTCGATCAGAATATGATGACTGGGAAAAGGGCTGGCACTCACTTCTCCAACTTTGCCCGCGTGTGCGCCACAATCGTCCAGGACGGTGATGCTGATCTGTTGTTTGCTTTCGAAGTCGGTGCGTCTCGGCAAGGCCTCAGCAAAGCGATGGCTGACGCGGCAGACATCCTGACGAAACCGTTTGGCGACAATGTCTGTTTCTCCGAGGTTGACAACTACCTATGCCTGTGGGGATTCGGCGGTGCTTCTCAGCCTGTCGATGTTTCCCTGCAGGGAGACAAGCATATCCATCACATCCTAATCGGGAGACATGTGGACGCGGCGATCACACGGCTCGATGTGCAAATAGAAGGCCATGGTAGAATTCATCTGATTACTGCCAACTTGCACATCGTTTGCGGAGCGAAGCCGCCGTCGGTGCTGACCAAACAACGTGCGGTCAGGCTCCTCCGACTCTACCTGGACAGCCTTCCAGGTCCGCAAGTGGACGCACCAGTTGTCCGCGTCATTGTCGGCGACAACAACCTGACGTCCACGCAGACCCGCGTTGCTCTGCAGCGCCACACCGATGACGAGCAGTTGCGGGATGTGTTTGCGCATCCAAGTGATCGCCAAGGTGGCAGCGTGGCGGTCTCTGGGGCCACTGCGCAGTTCAAGCCCATCGCTGTTGGCGCATCGTGCCAGGGCCGTGGCATGCGCAACGATCCCCACGATGCTGTTGCAATCGCCATTACTCTCCCTGGTGCTTCTCAGCCTAAGGAGACAAAGAAGCGGAAGATTGCCTTAGGAGATTTCGTCGTCTCCGATACTGCTTCAGACAAAGCCGAAAGTGAAGTCGACTGGGAACCCTTGCCAAGCCGTTCTCCTTCGCCAGAATGGCAGCCCATGCCGAGCCGCTCGCCTTCGCCGCAGCGCAACGAGCTTGACGATGAAGTTCATCAGCGCGCGCAGGAAGCGCATCGTGAGATGAGGGAGTGCTGGGAGCAGATGTACGAGGAGAGCTACGATCCCAAACTTCCCCATCAGCTCAGCCTTCTGCTTTTCATGAGGAGGGCAGGCGCTGGTGCTCCTCAGCCTGGCGATGACTGCGACGCAGCCTATGCGTCGCAGGAAGAGACTGCTCGGGCCATTCAGGCTGTTCTGCGGATCCGCCACGACTTCCTCCGAAGCAAGAACATTGCGAACATGCGCCATGTCCTTACTGAGGAGGAGCGCGGGGAACTTGTCAAACGTGCTCGAGAAGAGTACGAAAGTTCTGCCTTCCAGGTTCAGCTGCAGAACCGAGATGCCGAGAAAGGGGCAGCGAAGGGAAAAACGTCAGCACAGCAGGAACGCGGTGCTGATCAGCCTGCGAGCAAAGGCAAGGGAAAAGGCAAGGGCAAGGAACAAGGCATTGGCAGCCTCCGTAAGTTCATCAGAGAGCAAAAGCGCAAGCGATGGTGTCGGCATCTGCAACGCGTTTCCGGGGCGAAGCAGATCTGGGAGGTCCTCGCCTTTTCCGGCCACTTCGACGTTGACATGCTCAAGCGAGCCTTGCACGTCGAGCCCAGTGATGCACCCGCAGAGCTCGCCGATCGCAACCAGGTCTCTCAGGGAGAGCGCCGCCGCCTCCATCGTGACAAGGCGGATGCCATTGCGCGCTACAACGAAGGTGAGCGGCTCTATCGCCATCGGCAAGAGGTGCAGCGTCGCGGTGCTAGTCAGAATGCAGACGATGCCACTTTCACCCGCAGGCAATGGGATGTACTGCGGAAGTGGGAGAGCGGCGAGTTGCTCAAGAACCGCAATGCGGCGATTGCGGCGCTGGGACATGGTCGTCTGCGCACGAAAGAGGGTGATTACCTTGACATCGGCGGCAGCACCGGAGGTGGATCCCGGCGCATCATCGATTCTTGGCAGCCTCCAGATTGGCGCGATTTCCTGGAAGACGAGCACGAGAGGTGATGGATCCAGGCCTGCTTGCCCGCGGTGCTTCTGAGCCTGCGGTGTTGGAATGCTACTTGCAAAAGTGATTCCCTGCGCGGCCGCGCGCAGCTCCTCTGCTGAGGAAGACGAGGAAGAGGAGGAAGCGAGGGGAGAGGGTGCGCAGGAGGAAGAGGAGGAGGACGGGCAAGAGGAGGGCGGAGGCCGACGAGGATGAGGTGGAAGAGGAGGGGGGGCTCTGTCTGCCAGTCTCTGTGGTGCTTCTAAGCCTGCAGGCTTGCCTCGCTTTCCTCTTTTGTTCGTCGCCAGACTGGCGCGATCTAGTTCCAAAAGTGCTGCGCTGCACGGCCGCCTTCAGCCTCTGTGCTGACAGGGCGAGGAGGAGGAGGAAGACAAGGGAGATGACGAGCAGGAGGAGGAGGAGGAGGAGGAGGAGGGGCAAGAGGAGGGCGGAGGCGAAGGAAGATGAGGTGGAAGAGGAGGGGGGACTCTGTCTGCCAGTCTGCGCGGTGCTTCTAAGCCTGCAGGTTTGCTTCGTTTTCCGCTTCTGTTCGCCGCCGGACCGGCGTGATCTAGTTCCAAAAGTGATGCGCTGCGCGACCGCGTTCAGCTTCTCTGCTGAAGAGGGCGAGGAGGGGAGGAAGAGAAGGGGGAGGACGAGCAGGAGGAGAAGGAGGAAAAGGAAGAGGAGGGCGGAGGTGGAGGAAGATGAGGTGGAAGAGGAGGGGGGGCTCTGTCTCTGAGTCTCTGTGGTGCTTTTAAGCCGGCAGGGTTGCCGCGCTTGTTCGCTTGTGATCGCCGCCGGACTGGCGCGATCTTCGAGAAGACGAACAGGAGAGGTGATGGATCCAACTCTCCATGCCCGCTGTGCTTGTCAGCCTGCAGTATTGGAAGACTACTTCCAAAGGTAATGATCTGCTCGGCCGCGTCGGCGCGGTGCCTGCGAGTGTCTGCGATGCCTCTTAGCTTGGAGCTTTTGCCCGTTTTCTCGCTCCGTACGCTGCACTCATTTGTGCCCCTCGTGCGTGTCCGAAAAAACACTTCGAAAGAACGCAGCCATCAAACGCAGCATTCATTGATACATAAGCTCTACTTTAAACAATCGTGGCCATCATCACATCATCCACTTCAAACGCTTCCGTGAGCACGCAGTGAACGTAGATGCCAGAGTCTCATTTGAAACTGCATTCGTTGATACCGAGTGCTCGTTTAAACTCACATCCGTCGATTGCAGACTTCGATGCAAAAGTCTACAATGAGAGTCCGAGTTGAATATGAATGAAATCGCCATCTGAATCTAAATGATGGTGCACACATATATGCCTTTACACATCGCTGTTAGGTTGCTTTGCTGGGATAATTCAGGCGCGCGTCCGCTTGGCCCCGCGTATCTCCCCTGTTCCTCCTTCCCCCCGCCTCCTTGCACGTCCCCATTGTGGGGGGGGCGGGGGAAGGGCGAGGCGGAGGAGGAGGGAGAGAAAGCGCTCCTCGTGATTTGAGTCGTTTGGGGTTTCTCGTCCTGGTGTGAGTCGTTCGGGCCCTTCTTCCTGGTGTGAGTCGTTCGGGCTCTTCGTGGTGTGAGTCGTTCGGGCTCTTCGTCCTGGTGTGAGTCGTTCGGGCTTCTCGTGGTGTGAGTTGTTCGGGCCCCTCATCCTGGTGTGAGTCGTTCGGGCCCCTCCTCCTGGTGTGACTCGTTCGGGCTTCGTGAGTCTCCTCGTGGTGTGAGTCGTTCGGGGCCCGCGTCGTGGTGTGAGTCGTTCGGGCTCCTCGTGGTGTGAGTCGGTCGGGCGCCTCGTCCTGGTGTGAGTCGTTCGGGCCCCTCCTTGTGGTGTGAGTCGTTCGGGCTCTTCGTGGTGTGAGTCGTTCGGGCCCCTCGTCCTGGTGTGAGTCGTTCGGGCTCCTCGTGGGGCCTCTTGGGGGCCTCTTGGGGGCCTCTTGGGGGCCTCTTGGGGGCCTCTTGGGGGCCTCTTGGGGGCCTTTTGGGGCCTCTTGGGGGCTCTTGGGGGCTTCTTGGGGGCCTGTTGGGAGCCCCTGGGGGCCTCTTGGGGGCCTCTTGGGGGCCTCTTGGAGGCCTCTTGGGAGCCTGCTGGGGGCATCTTGGGGCCATCTTGGGGCCTCTTGCGACCTCCTCAGAAGCGCAAGTGAGCGCCACCCCCTGAGAAGGACAAAATGAGCCCAAAACCTTAGTAACATCAATGATTTTGAGAACAAGGAAGAGGAGCGCTGCCCCCTCAGAAGGCCAAAATGGGGCCGAAACCGTAGTAAAATCAATGATTTTGGCTTCACAGAAGAGGAGAGGGTTTTTTCGGCGTCCCCCCGTCGGGGGCAGAATCCTCGTGAGGGGTGTCGTTTTTTAGCCCTCCCAGGAGTCGAAATTGACTCCCCTGACGACCCGCCAGACCCCCTCTCCAGGTCCAGGGGGAGGGGGTAGGGGGGGGGGTAAACCCTTCCCCGAAGGGGAAGAAGGGGGGTTGAGAACAGAGAGAGCTCGCTAAACCACTCACGCCCAAAGGGCTGGTGGGATTTCTTACCGTATGTGCTTGTTGTGAATTGAAGAGCGGTTCGGCCACTCCTGGAGCTCACTCGCCGTTGCCCCCAATGGAGACGGTGGATCACGTGCGGCCCCATCGAGGCGGGGGCGACGACGATAGACCTCACGGCAGAGCTGCAGGCACTCCTGGAGACGGGTATGTGCTTCACTCTTGCGGGCGGAGGCAACTCAGAGACGATCTGCCTTGCAGGCTTTCGAGAAACAAACAACGCCATAAGTATAAACTGTCTGATCTCCGCACGGATTTCTTGGATCGGCGGCGGAGCCCCCTAGCAGCGCCTCCAGCGCCGCTCCTTGCGCGCTCCGCGCGCCAGGGAGGGGTCTAGCGCCGGTCCAAGAAATCCGCGCTGAGCTCCGAAAACTTATGTTTATACAGTTTTTCTTCGCCTAGGCTTGGCCCCAGTGCAGCTTGCGGTCGGAACCACCGCAGGCTTGAGCTGGCTCGGCCCGGCGCAGGTCGCGTACCCCGCTGGGTCAACGCTCACGCTTCTGGGCGAAGTCTCCGCCTCTTCGAACACCTCGATAGTTATTCGCAAGGCTTGCGCCGCATCCTAACACCACCTCGCAGGCGTTGAGGGTGAACATTGAGGAGAAGGAGGATGAAGAGGGGAGGGAATAGCAGGAGGAGGGATAAAAGGGCAAGGAGGAGAGGGAGATCGATGAAAAGGGGGACATGACGTCAAAGGAAAGGAGGGAAGGAAGCAGGAGGGAGAAGGATGATGAATGATGAAGGGACGAAGACATGGAGGGATGTTACATGAGGGAGTGGGAAGTGGGGATGGGATGGGGGCAGGATGAATTGTGGGATTGAGGCATCGTCTTGGGCTGTCCAGCTGGCCTCCAGCGGCTCTGCTGGGTCGTCTGTCCGGCATACTGGCGGCCGTCTTGGCGTCCTGTTGGGCCGTACATGTGGCCTCTCTGGAGACATGATTTGGCCGTCTTGGGATCCTCTTTAGGTCATCTTAGATCCTCTCTTGACGGTTGTTTTGGCCACTCCGTGGTCATCTTGGAGCATTCCTCCTATCTGGGGACCACAAGACTCCCAATGAGACCCCCGCAAGCGCATTGTT